AAAAAAAGAAGTCTTAATTCCAGTGGAAATCTAGTTCATGTCAATCCTGAAAGGATGTAATACACTCAGTTCAGTTTTCTCTAGGTTCAGACTTTCAGAGAGCTACATAACTTCATTGCCACAGCTTTTTTATCCATGAAATAAAAGCCACGTTTGAATTACTGAACTTGTTTCAATTACACCTTTTCGGTACAGGGTAGGGAGGTTAAATACTCCTTTCTGCCACAGAGAAAAACAACTTCAGCAAGTATGGAAGAATATAGTAAAGGATGAAGGTGAAATTTCTGGGGGGGGGGAAACAAAGGCATTAGCAAAAAAACCCACAAAAAATCTATTTATGTACAGGTTTTCCTTTGCATGACACATCTGCAGTACTGTCCATTTTCCAGTTTAGTGTTAATAGTGTTTAGTTTTCTTTGCATGAATGACTCGGCCATAATGTTAATTTGATCTTTAAAATCCTTTGTTTGTCTTGGAGCGCAGAGCCGTTGAGAATATGTTTTTCCGACCATCCTTGTTCTTGCTGGGAGGTCAGCTGCCTTTTTCTGAAGCACCTAAGTCTGTTTGCGGTGGAGGGTGGCGTATAGGTTTCTGTTATGGATACTGGAAGATTTTTCTCTTCTTTTTTTGTTTTCAACAAAGGGTACTTTGTTTCCTCATCACAAATTCTTTTAAGTTTTATTATGGCTCCTTTAGAGTAGGCTCTTGAACTCCTAATCAGGTAGCGCTTTTTTCCCTCATCCTCCTCCCTCCTCTTCTCCTATTAAATACCACGAAGTATGAGAAATAATCAGTTTAGTTCCAGATAAGGTAAATCAGTGCCCTTATAATCACTCGATTAGACATGGTCCTTCAGGTAAACTGCTTCAGGAAATGAGCGATCAGAGCCTGAAGTGATGCTCGGGCTTTTCCGAGGACCGTGTTCCCATCAGCTGAAAGAAGAATACCCAGCAGAGGGGCGGTGACAGCGACATTAATAGCTGCTGGAGCTTTCTGCCCGGGGAAGGCAAGGCCTCGCAAGTCAGCGGCTCTCGGCTTCGGGGGAACCCTCCCAGCGCAGAGGTGGAGGGGGTTTCTTCGCCCCTCTCTCCTCCCGGGTCTGCCTTTGTTCGCCCCGGCTTTCTCAGACCAGACGCAGGAGGAACTGAAAGCCAAATACATATAAACAGGGGCGAAAGGGGAGAAGAGGAGCGCAGCCTTATCTCGCTTTAGTTGAGGGGGCAGAATGGGTGTTAGATGGGTCTGGATTGCTTTTTTATTTCTTTTTAGGCTAGAAATCGTTCCGATCAACTTATGTGCCAGTTCAGCCTGCGGTAATGAATAAATTTATATTGCCTGCTATCTGTTACAAGAATAAACTCTTGTCCTGGGAGTTGGATTTCAGCTGAAAGCTGCAGGACTGTTCACATGAGCTCCCCAACTGGTTGGTGTGGTTCTAGTGGATGTTCTTGTGATACAACATCATTTTCTTGTCGTTAACACGCTAATTGTGTTTATTTCTGTGCGGTGACAGCTAGACGTCATAGCAAGGTTCGAAGCGGTATCCTGCTAGGCTCACACAAATGTCCAACCCCAAAGATGACTGAAGGCTCCTAGATTGTCACATCCTTCTGAAAATGTTACCCTGGTTTCCTTTTCTAACCAGCTCGGCAGTAGTGACTGCTGAGGATGCCTCTTTAAAAATCGAAGTTCAATATTAAAGAATTTGGTTGTATTCTTTGTTCTTTAGTGCATCAGGTAGGAGAGGGATTAAGGTTTAATTAAGGATAACATGGAAAAGAGGAACAAGAGGACAGCAGTAATACCTTTATGCTTTAGAGAGAATACCGATGTCCACGTTATCCCACTGATTATTTTCATAGTGGCCGACACTCTTATTTTTTCCTGTTTTAGTGTTATTTAAGTAAGCGTGAGTTTGTGTGGGAAAGACAGAAGAAGGTAGAGAAGGAGACAGAAAGGCTGTCTTGTGTAAGCATCCTATTTCTTTTTCGCTAGATTGCTCCCCAAAATGTCAGTCCTATGGGATCATATGGGGAAACGTGTGCTCTCTGTGACTGCCTTCAGCTCCCCCCCATCTTCCTTTGGAAAAGATTTTGGGAAGCTCGCTCTTCCCCCTTCTACACGGGGGAATAAAACCCTCTGTCCGTCATTTTGCATTCCTTGTGAGGAGATGGGTATCCCTGCTCCTGCACTGATTTTGCAGTGAGAGGTGTGAGGGTGGAAGCACGATCTCCGCTCCCCTCCAGCTGTGCCACTTGGCCATCTTGCCACGGCGTGGAGGGCTGAGCCCCTCCAGACACCACTTCCCAAGGGCAGGGAAACGCGGCTGCGCGTGAAGCCGGGATGTGTAACGGGAAGCGTGTCCAGAGCTGCAGCAACAAGTGAGAAAACGTGGGCTGGAAAAAGTGATATCTTTTTAAAGGTGACTTTTCGGAAAAAGGGCCCTAAATATCCGACTTCCCACTTTTTCCTAGGAAAAACGTACTGGTGAATGCAGTGTAATATGAGCATGAAATAGCCTTTTTATGTAGTGCATTTTCTACAGCCGTCTGTAAAGGATTGATTAAAAAAATGTGGTAATACATTTATTGCATTGCCTCGTTAAAGCACTGATGGTCTCTGAACAGGGTTTTTTCTGGGGATTAATGGCCAGAAGGGGCTAGATCTGCAGCTGATGATCACCATTAACCCCATCTGGTCAATAATCCTTGTTAATCCACTTTTATTGGCCAGAGAGTCTGCCCGGCCGAGTGGTTACCACAGCACAGCACACTCAGGCTCACCCCTGAGGAGTAAGCAAGGAAAATTAAAACGTGGGCTGCAGCTGAAAGGAAGGGACAAATCCAAGCCCAGATCTCTAGCTGTGTGCTCCTACTAGCAGTTGCGTCCTTAGTTGGGTCAGGTTGGAGATCCAACCGAAGCCGATGGTTATGTGGGAGGCGAAAGGCCAGCCCGGGGAAGGAGCAGGGCATGGGCATGGGTCAAACTGCGCTCTTGCCTTGCGAGCTCTGGCATGTCGCTGGAGGATCAGGGGCCAGGCATGGGAGCTGGGATTACTTTGCCCTCATCTAGAAGAAAAATCTGTCTTTTGACTCCTTTGTGCTTGGCCTTTCCAGCTGGGAGGGAAGCTTTGGAAACCCTCGGGTCAAAGGCGTGAGGAGTGGGGTTTCCGTGCGGCTCTGTGCTAGCTGTGCCTGGGTCGGAGCATGCCTGGACCAAGGGCACCTTCTCCTCTTAACTTCATTTTAACTTTTGTTGCAAACTGCAAGAGAAATGCAGAAGCTCAGGCCAGCTCCTCAGCTAGTGTGAATTACTTGGCTAAGCTGGCTTTGAAGAAGATACATCAGCTTCAAACAGGGAATCTCACAGCAAGGCTTCAGCTGCTATCTGCCACGCATCTGCGGGCACTGCCATGTTAATAGCGTTTCCCGCTATTACGCAAGTTTAAGCTTCCCGTTTAAGCACGTGGCTTAAACCATTTTGTCTTGTGAGCTCTCTTGTGCGGAGGGAAAGTCCGTCCTGTGGTATACGGCTACTGCTTTGAGAGCAGGTTGAGTAACTCAGGCCAAAACTTATTTTTACTGAATTATCAGTCAAATAATTATTCTTAAGAACGTATGCTTGTTGTTCATTATATCCCTTTAGATCTTTGTCTAATTGCTTTATATGGTCCGGGTTTATCTCCCGGTGTGGATGTGGCTTTTTAAGCTGGCTCTGCCGCTGTCACCAGCAAGCCCTGAGCAAGGGGGACAGGTCTTCTGTGCTGTTGGCCCCGATTGCTCTGCCAGGAGTCCTCTCCTCACACAGGGGAACAGGTTTCCTCCTGTCTCTCTTAGAGCAGCTCTTCACGCCCAGCCAGCCACCAGCCGGTGTGACTTCCTGCTAAAAGCCTTTTTAATGGCTGATGGCTCCCATTTACCTGGAGGGCAGGGCAGCCAAGGGTAACGGATGACAGGCGAGCTCGCCTTCCCTCCCGATGAGGCTGGTGGCAAGAGCTAAGAGCTGGTAGCAACCGGGAGAAGGTCCGAGAGGGAGGGGAGGTATGCTTTTTGCAGGGTAGGTGTTCTGTCGTAAGTGTTGTGGCTGAACCTGCTGCAATATCTTTACCTGCTCTTTGACCTTTTCAGCTTTTCTTCCCGAGGACTTGAGGACCCTTCTGGAGGAGGCAAAGGAAATGAAGTGGCCCTTTGTACCGGAGAAGTGGCAGTACAAACAAGACCTGGGCCCAGAAGACAAAACAAACCTGCAAGATATGATCAGCGCGAGGCTCCCCGATTTGCTGGTATGTAGTTCAACACATCTGTTGCGTAAAACGTCCCACTGATGTGCTTGAGGGTACGAGGAGCCCTGGTAGGTAGTATCACCTCGGGGTTCAGGGGCTTGTTTTTCTGCACGGTGGCAGCAGCAGGTGAGGAGCTGCTTGGCAAGCAGAGGTGAGCGAGTCTGTGTTGGGATGGGGCTGCTCACAAAGGCCAAAGGGCCAAAGTAGAAATGTGACTTTTATTTGTTTCGGTCCTCAGACAAGAGAGGGACCCCAGAAGCTACGTATAGTTTCCGATTTTTTTACATTAAAGTTGCTATGAAGCAACATGTGTGAATCACGGTTTCCTCCTCCTCATCTCCGTGTCACCACTGCATCTTCCAAGGGAAGGAAAGTCCTGCCCTCTGCTGCCACTGCAACCAAGCCACGGTTGTGAGATCAGTGGGAGCTCTGCCTCGGGGTTAGGCTTCTGGTCTTTTGGCTATGTAGCTCGCGGCGGATGGGTGTGCGACACCACGCAAGGCTGTTGGTTTGAGGTCTTGCTGGTACCTGCAGTTCTATGCGCTCTCCCGGTGCAGGGAAGATAAAATGGATTCAAGTGATAAAGTTTTGAGTGTGTTCAGACGTTTGGCTGCCGCCGTGCAAGGAAAAAAGTGCCTAGAAAGTAATGACAAAGACATTGCAGAGCAGAGGGCACTGGCTCTGCCTTGTCTAGAAGTGATCCCAGAGGTATATAGGGATTGTCCATGCATTCAGCACCTTGCAGAATAACAACCTCGTTCATTGAAACGTGCAGTGATGACTTTGACTGCGTTTACGCTCTTTCTGCTCACTTTCAGGCTCATCCCACGCTAGTTTGGGCATTTGCTTTGTCCGTTCCTCTGGTTTCACAGGGCAGTTCTGTTTCTGTTTCCACTAAGGTAATGTTTACCTCTTCCCTGAAGAACTGGCATTATAATAAAACTTAAATGCTGAATGTTTACATAAAGTTTTAAAAAAACCCATGAATTTGAAGAGAGTGCTGTGCCTTGTTTAATTCAGCACTGCTAGGAGGCAGTGAGGATTACTCACTTTAGTAGGGCTTGCACAATTCATCACCTGCTTTTCTTTTTTCAAGAAAATTACTTGACGGGATCCCTTTGAGGACCAACGCTGGCCAAAACCTGGGCAGGAAAGGCAAGAATTTAATGTGACTTCTCCTGTGAGTAAAGGATTCTTGGCTATGCAGGGAGCTGCAGGATTCCAATGGTGTTTGGGGATCCCAACCTGTAAGGTGATGAGTTTGAGCTTTAAGATTAGAAAGCGGCAAGAAATGTGGGTTGCTTTTTGCTTTTCTGGTTTTCTCAGAGGCATGTCAGACATGACTTGTAGCAAATAGAGGAGTCCCTTTTCAATGGTAAACGTAATATCTAGGCTAATGAGTATCCCTTTGGCAGGACAGACATAAAGATGAGGTTTATGAAGTTTTTGGGTTTTTTTTGCTTACTGTGGTGCATGTCTGAAGCCAACACAATCCCATTTCTCATGGGAAGGGGCAGTCCGGCCTGAAAATCTGGGGTTCGGGGCAGGGGAGGTCTGGCCCTGCTGAAATCCCAGCTGCAAAACTGCGGTTAACTCCAAGGTGGCCAGGAGATTTCACCTGCTTCAGAGAGAGCCCTGCCCAAGTAAGGCCAGCAAGTTTTGTTTGAGGGCGACGGTTACTTTGAATAGCGCTGAGCCATGAGCAGCCCAGAAAAGCCAACTGCAGGGCTGGGAGGCGTCAGCCCCAGCATCCCCTCGCCAGCACCCCACGTTGCAGGGATCCTGAATTTGCTGGGGGGGGGCGGAGAGCGGCTGCTTCTTGGGTATTTATTTTCTTTTTCTTTTTGGTGTGTGTGGCCTTAGACAGAAATTTATGGCAGAGGTTGACCTCCTTTACAATCCCCGCGCAGCGCTCTAACTTTGGAGCGTTTGTCTGCTCTCTCCCAGGATAAACACCTGCAGTAAACTCCCTGAGAGACCTGGCTAGATGGGAGATTAATGTGGCTATAATAGTGGAGCAGTGTTTGCAGCATTATGCCCTCTCCCCAGGTAGATGGATCTTTTCTGAGATGATACCAATTATTTATTGCTGAAACATCTGTTGATAACTGCAGCTGCCCTTGTTAAACAAAGCATATCATGGGGTCATAGACTATAGGGACCTAAAATCCTACCGCATGCTAGTTTTAGACTATTCACCGACACCCCCTGAAGTCCATTGGTTACCGTTGTCTTCAGTGTTTCATCCTGCGGTTGAAAATACTTTGTAAACGTTGTGCTGCCTTTCCCCATGTGCTTTGAAGTATTATTTCATCTTCGTCGGTAATTTATATTCCAGTGCCATTGTACCATGGGAAAAAGGGAAAACCTTTTTTGTTTTCCATTTAATTGTAGATAGACTGACATTTTGACCTGTATTATTAGTATTAGTCAGGAAAAGGGATTTTTTTTTTTTTCCCCCCCTTCATCCATTCCTTACCCCCCCCACCTTTTTTTTTTTTTTAAATAAAATTTCAAGGCAGAGCAAAGGCTGCTTCAGTTCTTTGAATAAAAAGCTGGGGGGGAAATGAGGCTGAAGAGAAGTGATTACAGTGTGATGAGGAAAGATAAAAGTCTGAGCAACTTTTTTCTTCTCTCTTTTACTGGCATGAGGGACAGAAGGATAATTTAATTCCCTGGGGGGAAAAAAAATAAGTCTTTGTCGATTTATTGTTCAGAAAAAGCTTTAAAATTTTTCATCTCTGTTTATTTTAATTTGCCGTGCTTAGAATAAGCTCATAAACCGTAATTCATTACATTTAAAAAGTGCTTTGAGATCCATGAATGAAAGGCACTTCATTACCATAACACACTGCTGGTCTTACGAGGAGGCAGAGCTGGCTACCAGGGCTCACCATGAGGATGTTTTACTCTGCGAGTAGGCTGAAAAGCTCCATGAGACCAGCACAGTGAGTAAGCGGATTAGGCTTTGGCTTCAAGGGCTTGCCTTAGTGTTGCACTTCAAAAAGTGGGATACCCGTTGCTGGCGGCTGCGTGCTAGTTTGACACATCAAGAAGGCAAAGCCACCTGCACCTGCAGCCTTTTAAAGTGCTCTTCTTCGCCTTTGCTGTGGGATGCTCGATACTTCTGCACGCTGGCCGAAGCGGTAGGAAGGCACGCCAAAACCAGCTTGGGGGAGCAGGGGGTAGCGGCAAGGCAGGCTTGCCTCGGCTCAATGGGAGCTGCCGGGGCAGGGGTCAGCGCAGATTTTGGCAATGTTGCAAACTTTTCTCTTTTTTGCCCTCCCTCTCCACTATATGAAATTACTGAACCTCCCTAGAGATTTTAAGGCAAAAGATTTACTGTAATCCTTGAGGCAAACCAGCACTTCTGGTTTTACAAATCTTTGCATCTTATAGAAGGTGGGGGTTTTTGGTTCAGGTTTGGTTTTTTTTTCTTTTCCCTGCCAGGGATTCACCAACTAATACAAAGGCCACCCCAGTTCAACAAGCTCAACATACTGTTTTCTACATTTTCCTAGCAGGTTTTAAGAGAGCCATCGGCTAGCAAACCAAGCCCATCCTGCAGCCCCCGTCTCAGCCTGAATGCCCCTTTGGTGGGAATCTGCACTAAGGCTTGAAGGGTGATAACCAACATCTGTATCCAAAGCAAAAACTGGGAGGCACTGGGATTTTTGTTTTTAACAAATCAAAGCAAAATCAGAATTGTAACAGAATCTTTGCTGACAAGTATAAATAAAGAGGGATTACTTCTTCTCTCTAAATAGCACAAGCGCTGTGGGGTTCGGACTGGGGCTGCAGATCCAAAAGGGAGGCTGCCAGGGGCTACCCTTCCTGCCGATCTTCTCTATCCCAAGGGATGGAAATATCCTTATGCTCGGTGACCAGCCAATAGAGGGCAACATGCCCATGTACACATAGGCTTTGAGCCCACAAACCTTGATGTGGGTTTCATTGGAGGACAATTCTATGCACACAATTGCAAGATCGTAGCCTCTTTGCAAACCCATTGTAAGGATGTGGGGCTTTACTTCATTTTTGTCGTACGTATCAATAGTTCCTGCATCCAGGCTCAGGCATTCAGCCGTGGACCGGGATCTGCTGGGATAGGTACAGTGGGAATACAAAAGGAAAAGCCCCGAAGAGCAGGGCTCCTGCAGGTCCCTCTGCACCCGCGGCAGGGAGCTGTGCAGGCTGACCCCGTGCTCCCTGCCATGGATGGGGGAGCATGGATCCTGGCCCTGCTGGCACAGAATCTCATGGGAGTTAATGGGAATATTGAAAAGAGTAGAAAATAAGGCCCCGCAGCCCTTGCCTGGGCCTTAGCTAATTACGTGCTGATAGATTGCCATTAGAGAAACCATTCTGAGGGACATGCCCTAACTACCCTTAGGGGTGTGTGTGTGGCACTTAAGAGCTGGGAGCCTTTGAAAAAGAACTAAAGAGGGGGCTGAGGGTTTAGTTTTCTCCTCCTTCTAACTGTTGATGTGGTAACAGGAGAATTAAAGCCCTAAATCGTAGCCCTGGGACCTTGGTTGTTCAGGCTGACCTTTTGCTACCTGCCTCGTAAGAGCTCTTCTTGGGTGATCCCAGTGAAACGGAGAGTGACGTAAGGCAGAGCTGTGGCTGTGGGCTGAATTCCGTCCTAGAGGGAATCCGTGGGACCCCGGCCTCCCTTGCGCTGCGCAATCCCTGCCGCTTTGTAAGTGAGAAGTATCAGAGATCAGGTGCGGGTGGGAGAGCACTCAGTCTTCCGCTGCCTATGTGGGAAAACTACAGCAGAATTTATGTGGAGCACCAAGTTAAAAAAAATGGGAAGTCTGATCCTGGGTACCTGTACGGCTGTCAGTTCACTTTGCTCACGGGTGGGATTTCCTCTTCTCAGATGCAGCTTCATGGAGTATTTCCTCCCTGGAAAAGACTTTAAATGTTGTATTACCGAGATTGCTATGTTATGTTTTCCTTCCAAATTAAACTACTTCTCAAATGGATTGATGTTT